TCTCGGCGACGAGTATATTGATACCGCTTACGCTTTGGGCGCTGTCTTCGTATGGAAGTGATAATACTATTGTCCTTTTCACCTAATTTGGACAGGGTAGTTTATTAGAGAAATCGACTTGAAGCACATTTTAATACCGTGAAATGTATACTGTACAAAAATTATATATAAAATGTTTGTCCGGGACAATATATGGGCCATATCTTTGAACCAAACATCGCTGAAGTACCATTGGTCCGAATGCTGGATTGAAAAAATTTCATTGGCTCTTCGACTAGAAACTCAAACTTCTAAAACGAATGCATAACTCTTTACTGCGAAGTACTACACTGTCGTAATGCGTACTAGTACACCATTTTGCAGTTAAGTTGGACGAATGCCCAATATATTTGGCCGTCGCCCGATATATTTGGCCGTGCGCCCAATATATTTGGTGGTGTGCCCGATATTATTGGCCATGTGCCCGTTTAATTTGGCACACGGATGTCGTGTGCCTGATATATTTGGCGATGTGCCCGATATAATTAGCCGTGTGCCCAAGTAATTGGCCATCTGCCCGATGAATTGTGCCATGTGCCCGATGAAAATGGAAATCACGCAATAAATAGTCAATTCAATATAGAAATGGTCGTCAAACGATAGATGCAGCATCGTTGCTATGACGTCACATACCAACGCCCATGTTGCATATGGCCTCCGCGCGTCTATCGAATGTGCGTACCTTGAGGTAAATCGAAAAATGAGCTCTGCGCGCGAATAAATTTTTGGAGGGAGTTGAAGTATGGACGAAACGTAGTTGTAAACTATACTTTATTCAAGTATAAATTTCGAATTATCTTGCCTTCGCGCGTTTTCCTCCGAACTTCAACCACATCATGTTTCCACCAAAACTGATTTGCACTCCATGGAATATAATTATTTGAGTTATTTCAATTTCATCGGGCACACGACACAATTCATCGGGCAGATGGCCAATTACTTGGGCACACAGCTGATTATATCAGGCACATCGCCAAATATATAGGGCACACGACCAAATATATCGGGCATTGGTCCAACTTAACTGCAAAATGGTGTAGTACTGTAGCAGTAACACCCGCCGCTTCGCTTGTGTACACGACACAATTCATCGGGCAGATGGCCAATTACTTGGGCACACAGCTAATTATATCAGGCACATCGCCAAATATATAGGGCACAGGACCAAATATATCGGGTATTGGTCCAACTTAACTGCAAAATGGTGTAGTACTGTAGCAGTAACACACGCCGCTTCGCTTGTGTGCTGGCAGGAAAAAGGAATGGCGCTTCGCAAATAAATCTTTTCTTGAGTACTCAAAACAACTTCCATAATAACGATAAGATAACCGGGGCTAATTGCCAGTGGTTACAGTAGCTATCGTTAAAGCCCCCGGCAATGCGCCTAATCCATCACGAATCAAGCCGAACTTTTTTTACTATCCTACCAGTCGAGTTAATCAGCTTTGTTTTAATCTGCCACACGATTCGACTTTTACGAAAAGGATGGCTTCCAAAACCGACTCAAAGAACTTTGCATCATCCGGAACTTGTGATGCATGAAAGTATAAAGACAGCCGTCGATGCATTGATGAATGCTATTGTTGAATGCTGG